GTGATTGTCAAACTTGTGGAGCCCAAAGAGGCTTTTGCAGCTTCTGATGTTAAAAGTGCAGCAAAAGATAATGAGGACAGTAATGTCATATTTTATCTGATGATAACTTTGGGCGCAGTTTCTGTGCTTTTTCTCGTCACTATCATCGTGCTGATTGCAATGCAGTGCTCCAAATCCACAGACTATACTTCTAAATATTTGCCAGAGACTAATTATGATGGGACACTGTGTCACAGCATCCAGTACAGATCAGGGGAGAAGCGGTACATGCTCGTTGGACCCAGAATGAGTATAGGATCTACTATAGTACCTGGAAGCCATGCAAATACTCTCGTGCTTCCTGATAGGAGACGTTCTTCTGAAGAGGTAAGGCCTTAACACCCTTTTGTAAAAGCATTTTCCCTTTCCGTTTTCGGCTTGCTTTACAATATCAGTTATAATGGCAGTAAGTAGCATAGTGGTGCAGTGGTTCGCGCTATTACTTCAAAGCAAGAAAGTTTGGGTTCGTCTGGCTGGATGGAGTTTGTACGCTTCCCGAGCCACTCTGTTCAATGTGCTATGTTTTCCTGCTGTTTCTTTTTAGATCACATTCACTGATAAACTATAAAGCCATACATGTACAAATACTAAATACTACTAATAATAAACTACTACTACTACTACTACTACTACTAATAATAATCCTTTGTAGTTTTGCGAACTATTCGCTGCCCTTGGTGCTGATTGGTTTTTTTCCCTTTCTTTTTTTTTTTTTTCTTTGAGCATGTGTTGGGAGCCTTTACTGTCTCTCTTGGTAGTTGTTTATATGTCACTTTTTGCAATTAAAGTTCTGTGGGAGAGCCTGTGATCGCTATCCATGGTGCCAAAAACTATCAGGCTATCAGTTGAAGGAATGTTAAAGAAACACAATGATTGATTAATGCCATTATCTGTTGGAGCAAGTTATCAGCAAGTTTTTTATGGGGTAAACCGAGAGAAAGAGGGAAGAGATTAGAAAAATGTTAAAATACTAAATTTCTATTGGTTGTTCGAGAGCCAGTCAACTTAAATTCAGTTCTCAAGCCTAAAAGAGGATTCAATCAATTAGAAAAAAAGAAAAAGAAACAGCATATGAGGTTCTTTCTCAGCACAGCCTCTGGGTGTCACTATGAAATCAGAAAACCTTTAAGAACATTGTCCCTCCCCTTGCAAACCCTTTGTCTGAGCTGAGCAAAGCACTTGGACCAAATATACCAGCCGACAAAACCCTGTTGTTGGTTTTGTAAATATGCGGCGGTAAGCGAGTCGGTTATTGCTCTTGGCATTAACAGCTCCTGTGGATTCATATGCTGTTGAAAAATGATGGAGACTCCAACAAGTCACTACTCCCGGTTTGCCTTTTATTTGGCGTTGATGCTATTTTCCGGAAGAGAAGCTTTGGCTCAAATAAGATATTCTGTTGCAGAGGAGGTGGAAGATGGCACTGTTGTTGGAAATGTTGCGAAGGATCTCGGGCTTGATGCAACCTCTTTGGGTGACCGACGGTTCCGTGTTGTCTCTGGAAGTGAGGACGGTATTTTTGAGGTAAACCAGAATAGTGGGGCATTGTATGTCAGTAATCATATCGATAGAGAGGAACTCTGTCAGGGCAGCGGTGCTTGCCGCATGGAGGTAAAAATTCTTGTAGAGAACCCTTTGGAAATACACTACATAATCGTAGAAATCACTGACATAAATGATAATTCTCCTAGTTTTCCTGCAAGAGAGCAGGCATTTGAAATAGCTGAACACACACTGCCAGGGAAGAGATTTCAGCTGCACACTGCTCGCGACCCCGATGCTGGAATTAACTCTATTCGTACATATACTATAACCTCAAATGAACATTTTGAAGTAAATATCCGTCAAAGTGATGCAGGAAAGGTACCGTTTTTAGTGCTTAAGAAATCACTAGATAGAGAACAAAATAATGAACACAAGCTAGTTATGACAGCTGTCGATGGAGGAAAACCTCCGAGATCAGGCACATTAAATGTTACCATAACTGTTCTGGACAGTAATGACAATCGTCCAATATTTAGTCAGGAGATTTATCACTTGTCTATAAAAGAAAACATACCCGTCGGTGCATCAGTATTTAGAATGAATGCAACAGATTATGATGAAGGTACTAATGGAGAAGTTGAATATGCTCTGGGAAAAACTTTATGGCAGAAAGTTTATGATATTTTTGAACTGGACAAAATAAGTGGAGAAATTACGGTCAAAGGAGTAGTGGACTATGAAGAAAACAACGTGTATGAACTGGATGTTGAGGTATCGGATAAAGGAACGCCTCCATTGATGGGCGAGTGTAGACTAATTATAAAAGTACTAGATGTCAACGATAACCCGCCTGAAATCGAAGTTACATCACTTTCAAACACAGTACCTGAAGATTCAAAGCTTGGCACCGTTATTTCGCTTCTTAGTGTGAAAGACAAAGACTTCGGTGTGAATGGAAAAATAATATCAAGCATTATTAATGAAGTCCCTTTTGAATTAAAACCTTCTTATAAGGAAAACACATACTCAGTGGTAACTAAGGATGTTTTGGATCGAGAGGTGGTGTCCCATTATGAAATAACAATAAAAGCCACCGACTGCGGCGAACCTCCACTATCTACTTTTAAAACTCTGCGCATTGAGATATCAGACGTAAATGACAACAGTCCCCATTTCAAACAAAATCCTTTAGAGTTTTATCTCGTAGAAAACAACGCTGCTGGAAAGTCTATATTTTCTGTAAGCGCTTCAGACAATGACTTAAATGACAATGCAGCCATTTCATATCACATTATGAGAGAGGGGAGCCAAAATGACGTTATGTCATCCCTGAATATAAACAGCGATAACGGACAAATCACTGCGCTGAAAAGTTTTGACTTTGAAACGCTGAAAACTTTCCAGTTCCAAGTTGTTGCCTCAGATTCTGGAACTCCGTCACGAAGCAATAACGTCACAGTCAACGTCTTCATCCTGGATCAGAACGACAACGCTCCAGTCATCCTGTATCCA